GAAGAAGATGAAAACTCTTAGGAAATTATCCGTTTTCTCTCCCTCAATCTTGCCTCTAAAATCTTCTAAAAGCAGCTATCTCCCACTTCTTGGCGAGTTTAGGTTTCATATAGGTTTAGGTTAGTCGCCTAAGAAATTACATAATTAACCCTGCTTGTTTGGATTTCGTCCTCCCGTCCGCGGCCGCGAATTCGACCGCGGATCCGGTCGCGGATTTGGACTGTCTCACTGCCTTGAGTTCGCGGACCAATTCGCGGCCCACTCCACGGCCGCGCACCTGGAGGGGTCGTCTCGCTTGCTTTTCTCGCTCCTTTTCGACCGGCTAACCTTCGATTGGCCTTTCACACTCCATGTTGACTCCAAAACACTCGTTAGCTCCCTACTAGCTCGGAGTAGCTCCTGCAAAGCATCAAATTCTTAATTAGAGCATTTTGTTATCTTTTAGCATTCAAATATCAATAAAGTGCGGCTAAATTAGAGTGTAAGTAGTATCTAAATTGCATAAATATAGCCTACTATTAATAAGCTTAGAATATTTTTTATTATTTAATAAGTATGATACAAGGTATAGTTATTATAAAAAAGATAGGATAAAAAATAAAATATAATTATTAATGACAAAATTTAAAAAGAAAAAATTTAAATAGCGACACGACCACATCAAATCGATCGTTACAACAAAATGGAACATTTGATCGTTATATAAAGACGAATTTAACAATACGATACAATAAAATTTAATTAACAATTAAAACATATATTGTATTTAAAGAAACAAACATAATACAACACAATATGTAATCATACAAACAAGTTACTCCATTAGAGAGCCGGGAGAGGAAAATAAGTGCAAAATAAAAGACCTTGGACAAAATTAGCAAATAGACACTTTTATTATTAGAGTTTAGTAAGTATTCAAAAAAGTATGACAGTATTATTTACTATTTAGTCACTTCGTTTACACGAAACGTTTTTTTGGACAATTAACAATTCCAGCAATAGGTTCTGGGTTTCAAAACTCCATTAATTTGAGAAATTCTGTATGTGAAACTCCACTGCATAGCAAATTGAAATTTCAAACATTTACATGACTATGCTGGAGTTTTAAACCAAATCTGAAGTTCTAAACCAAATCCCTTTTGCTTTCCTTTCTCTTCTTGTCTCCTTTATTGGATCAGAGACAACCATTAAAGTTCCTTCTAATTAACGACCCAAAGAAGAAAGGATGATAAATAGAACGACGAAGATCTCGATAGTATCTATACTATCACTCGATTGGATTTTCCAAACAAAAAAAATAAATGTTGACAATCCAATTATATCATAAGTACGATTCTGAAAAAATACACTCAAACCTCAAGAAGAGCTTATAACAATCTGATTACACCCATTTGTCACTTATTTGTTTAATTTCTTACTCTGCACATTGTCTTAGTCTTGTCTCTGTTAGTGCTGTCACTTAGTTTTTCTCCAATTTGTTTGTATTCTGTGAATATTTGAACTCCATGATTTGTTCTTGTGGTTTGAATTTCATTATAAAGGTTTGAATCCAATGAATCATTCTTGGGGTTTGAAACTCCAATATGTTTTCATACTTGGATTGTGAAAGTTTGAATCCCATAAATTGTTGCTGATAAAGATTTGAACCCCATGAATCGTTGTTGGGTTTTGAAACTCCAACAAATTTTACAAAAGATAATCTAGCTCTCAAATAGCGTAAGATTGTTAATATATTCATTAAATTTACTTATAGTGCTACATTCGCCTCTGGTCATGAATTCGCCTCTGGTCATGAATTAGTAAGTAAGTGTGACCAGAGATACTTTTGGCTATAAGGTTAATGGTTCTATACTTTAGAAAATGTGATCTTTATAGTACTCATATATTTTCACTAAATTTAATTTTTGGGTTCATATTTTCAGGCAACTATCAAGAAAGATGCAGAGTATAATTACTGTGTGTAATGTAATGGTTATCTTTTCTTCTATACAGGGCGGATCTATTGAGGCCCGAGGGAGTGGTACACCCCGCAAGTTTCGGTAGAAATTCTTATATATGTGTATATATGTAAGAAATAGGATAAATAGCAGTGCTGCCACCCACAGTAATAAAAGGCACCAAGGTGCCCGTGGTTGAGGGACAGAGTTTTCTCTTTAATGGCGAGGGATAAAACCATGCTTGTAGCATTTTTCAGATGTTTTGGCTTGCTGCATGTCTAGGACTTTTTAAAAATTATACCTAATGTCTATTTTTAAGACTCTTTTTTCGTTGACTTTGAAGGTTTAAAATCAATTAATAAGTTTCCTAAACAACGTAGGATTTGCCCACACCTAAATTTCAGAGCCCGCTATTTGTAATTTGGCTATAAAAGTACCCTAAAGCTACACCTCGAGCTTTTCTTTCTTCCTTTTTTTAAATTTAATTTTGGGTTAATCCAGCTCATACTATTAGTAGGAGTATCAGTATCAGGTAATTAATATTTTTTGTTGTCACTTTCATTCTGTTCTCTTAGGATTAACGTAAATATTAGGAAAATTAACATGAAAGGTATTATAGTTATGTTACATAGTTTAAAAGTAAATAATTTATATAAGGTAAAATTTTATTTGAATTTAAAGTCCTAAATATTAGGACCTTCTATGTACCTCAAATAAATAACCATAATTTTAATTTATTTTTAAATTATTTAAAAAATAATGATAATTTTATCAATATAAAACTTTTGAAAGATAAAAAAAGTCAATCAACATTTTGCGAAGAGATTTCGTGTTTTGGGTCGCCTTAGGAGAAGCGTTTGCCACTAGCTCAAGCCTCACTCTAATTATGTCGTGAGGCTAATTGAATTCAGTTCATAAATCCGGGAATATATATAATATAAAGTTAAAAAAAAATTAGTTTCCTTCTTCCAAGTTTTCATAATTATTATATTTTTTCCCTTTAATTGATTTGCCTGTATAAATCGTAGGACAAACAATGAGGATCGAAAAAGTTCAAAGTTGATCAAATCGACTAATATTACTATATTTGGATCGTATAAATAGTAACACGTCTATGTTCAAAGTAGTGTGGCACCCGCAATGTCCAAATCCTGGATCCGCGTCTGACTCTATACATGATTTTGTCTAATCCATGTAATGCCTCAGAGTACGTTTAGTTCTAGAAGTGGAAGAGAACCTGAAAGGAGGAAAATCGCGTGTTATCACAGTTTTGTATATATCGGCCAAGTTTACGAGTTGAAGATAAGCGACAATGACTACGTACGTTTCCTCCTTCAAGTTTATTTAGCTTTCATCTGATTTTATTCATTTTTTTCAAGATTTTCTTCATCTGGTATTATCATCGAATCAGTTAAGAAAGTATCATTGCCCACATATACTTTTTTCTTCTTCTTCACACAAATGAAAGAAATGAATCAAAGCGGGTCAATTATTTAAATTTAATAGGTTCAACTTTAAATTATTTAACATTGCACTTATTGTACTACTAAAATTATGGTTCAAATATAATATTTATTCAAATTTTATTAGGTTTTCTATATAAATTTATATATACTCCGTGTCGAAAGTTATGAATTCAGTTGAACCAATAGTTGAAAGGCACATTCGCCCCCTGCTTATGATCAGTCTCATTACCACATTAGTCTCCCATGTGCTATCTTATAAAAAGCATTAGACCAACTTGTGTAATATGCGGGCAAAGGGACCCGTGAACACCAAAATATGTGGATTGTGGCTTCCTCACAACAAATGAAAGATTTTTCTTCTTTCTTCTTTTATCTTGGGTGGGAAGAAGGGGAGAGGGGAAGGGATGTGTAGACAGATCCGGAGGAAGATACATATAATGTTCAACTTATCCTAATATTTTTCGCACGAAACAAAACTATGTGAACTATTAAAATTTTGACAAATATTAAATTACATAAACCTGTCCTTTCACTTATATTCCCTTGATGCAAATTTGCTATTAAGCTATATGCCACTTTCGCATAATGGGTAAGAACTCTTTTTAACTTTTTCGTATGACCAAATATAAATTAAATAAGGTCACGATTTATTACAAGAGATAATTCAGAGCTGATTTCTGAGGTAGTACTATTTGGAAACAACAAACTGTTATTAGAAAGGGTAGCCCGTTGCACGAAGCATATCGCGTTTACGCACGGTTCAGGAAGGGTCGCAATCCAAGTGGTGTAACGTAGACAGTCTATTCTAATACAAGTATCGGTGACTGATTTCATGACTCGAACGCGTAACCTATAAATTGGGAGCAAACTGTTATTCAACCAAAAAAAATGCTACAAGAAGTAGGGAGCAAGAAGTGAATGACTCCCCTAGCTATTAGACAGATGTAGGGAGCACAAGAAATATTCTTTGCAGAATTATTGAAGATATCCATCTAAACAGATTATACATATCCACAAGAATCTTCTATCACATCTAAATCATTCCACTCCTAGCTGGAAAAGACCCCATCAATCTCTTCTATGTTTACCTGTCAAAATTCTCATCTTTTGCTATCAAGAATCCATGGCGAAAAGAAATTTACACAACCTTCTGTACTTGTTTGCTCATTGAATTGACAAAGATAGTGAGTGGAAACTGAACATTATAGCACGAAGCTTATTATTAAAAGAAAGTTTAACTTTTGTATACCAACAGTATACACAAATTTGTGCACTATAAATCACTAAAAAGATAACTATATGTAACTTCATATATAAAAAGTGGAGTTAGCAACTGGAAAATTAGGTAAGTTTCACGTCACAAGAAGTTTAATACACTTGGTATATTGTCGGTGTCTATAAGTTAGATCCTATAAAAAAAGACTGTTCCAGAAATACATAGATAAAGAGATGATATGGGAATATACATTTTGTGAAAAACCAAGGTTAAGTTACTAGTAATTAACAAGACTTGAACAGTAGCAATCATGAAATTTACATACTAAAACAAATCCTTGAACTGATCAATATAGGCAAATTCTTCTAATAAAATCGACACTTATGGTTTGATCTCTAAATCATCCCATGTTATATTGAGATCAGCTGTACTTAACGTGTCGATTTCGTTCCAATTCCAATTATAACTTGGCATATTTTCAGTAACATTGCTTGTTTCTGGAATTGGCCATGGCTGAGAAAGGAGATCACTGTTGCTTGTAATTGGCATGACTGTGGTTATGGTTGACTCCTCCACTGTACTATCAAATTTTCCCATGTATTCATTGCAAACATTTGAAGTTTGAGTACTAAGAGAACATGGAACAGTATCAAAAGAGAAAGAAAAATGTGTATTTCCATCTAACTTCAGACCTGCAAATATGTCCTTGTAATTTCCATTGAAAGGTCTCTTGGAAAAATTGCTAATTGTATGATCAAATTGTAGTGATGTTGAAGGAAACTTTAGTGTCTGATAGAAAATATCAGATTCCTTTTTCTCTTCATCCAAAGTAGTAATATTTCCCCTTATGGTAGAAGATGGCACGGTCTTGCTAATTAAAGGACACCTCTGATTGTCCATCTCTAATGTGACACGTTCCATCCTATTTATATGATCAACGGGGTCAGTCGGCCTCAACCGCTTGTTTTTTCGGCCACCGCCTAAGGGAACGTTACGAAGAGTGCCACCTTCAGTCCAATGTCTTTTACAACCTTTACAATAATGGCGAGGCTGTGATTTGTTGTAATTGTTGTAGTAACAAAACTTGGTATTGATTGAACCACACCTCGGACACTTCAATGGCTCCGGTTTCGGTGTCGGCTGCCGCCTTATCGACGGTGGTTCTGGCAGAGAATTCTGGCTCAAATTATCAAGCCCATGATCATCAAAAGAAACTAACTTAGTACTCAACCCCATATTTGATACACCAATGATAAGCAAATCAAGAATCTTGTATTTGATCAACTTAGTAGTGAAATAAATCTAAGTAGTTTAGCCTTTGGATCTTGATGCAAGAAGAGATTTACATGGACATGAAGAGAAGGGAGTTATTATATGGTTTTCTTTGAGAAGGATTTATGAAAATGGTATCAAGTTTATAAAAATTCTTAGGAAGGTGATGAGAAATGAGCATATGTCATCTAAGATTCTCCATAGCTATTTTTTTTTATAAATATGAGAGTGTGTATATACACTAGACCCATGTGGTCCGCTCCTTCTCCAGATCCCGCGCATAACGAAAATTTAGTGCAACGGGTTACTTTTTTTTGTTTATATACTTGTGGAAGGGGTCAATGGCTATCAATCTGTCTGTAAAAATATATACTAGGACTTTATATATTATAATAGGAAGGGGGCAGTACTGGAGAAAATCTATAATTCTTAGGTATGATCACTTGAGAGCAAGAGGAGGGTTTTGATTGATACTTGTGGCTGTGGCGTGCAGTCTTTGGTGTCAATTATATTAAATTATGACTCTTAGGTTTCCTTCTAGCAGACAATCTATAAACATCCCTTCCATTATTGTATTTATCTTATAATTCTTTATTTTAAACGGAAGGTTATTTCCAAGTTTTTTCAAAGAAAAAAAAACGGTAAAATATACTTTTCAACACAATAATTTTTTGTTAAAATTTCAACTGTAAAAAAACCTATTAGTTTTTTTATAACATTGATATCTAGATCGGATTACACGCAAATCGACTAACCTATCAAATATCTGAGCGATGAAATGATTCGTGAAAGAATATGTACCGTTGATAGTGCGCACCGTTAGTTTGGTAAAAGAGATCGTTCATATGCTAAATTTGTACTAGAAAAGGCCAGGTGTGACATATGGATTATTCACGTAGTCATGTGGTCAATTAGCAATTAAAAGAAAAAGTAAAGGGAAACCAACAAACATATAGAAAACAAGAGTACCACCGTCCTTGGTTTCTTAGATATATTCCCTTAAACTAGCCATACAAATTGTTTTTTGCAGTCAAATTGGTATCATTATTTTAGAGAACGAAAGGGAATTGTCGGTGATAGATTGACTCCCCTTGTGATATTGTGCTGCTATAAGAGGTTAAAATTTTTAGGTGTAATAATGTTTGGGCGTAGTGTTTCTTTAGATTTTAGGATGACAAACAATTTTAGAGAATGCGTATGTGTAAAAAAAGTATTTAATACTCCATATAACATGTCGAATAATCTTTAAATCGAGCACTTCTTTCATGGGTAGTATGGTCACATGCTAGTTATACGGAAAATATAATGAAAGAATTATGTATACTGGATCGGAGAGTTATTAATTAATAATGAAAATATTCTTATTTATGAAATGCTAATTTAGAAGGATATTTTTGTCTTTAAACAGTTTATTGCTAATACATGTACACATTCTATCATACATTAGATAATATATAAATTCTCGCATAATTTAATCCCGGTATTATTTAGTACCACTAATCAAACATTTCATTAGTTATACCACGATTATTATTTTTTCCCTTGTATGGCCAATCAAACACTGTATTATCTTATCCGAGATTTTATATAGAGATTAAATATTCTGAAGACTGAACCATCAACCAAAACGACCCCTTACAGTTATTGGTAGATGTCGGAATAATCTTTAAATCGAATAGCCACATCGAACTTGTGTATAACATCCTACTCATTATTTTCAATGGTATGATGATGATTATATATTTGTATTGGCTGTAATATTATCCCATTCCAGAAGTAAACGGTAGTGTCAAATATGTCTAGTTTTGGCCATTTCTTGATGCTAAGATAGCCATAAACGTAGTAACATGGCTTCTCATATATAGCATGGTTCTGCAATCTAGTCATCTGATGAATGATTATTATGAAAACCATAGCCATGTCTACCTATTCTTCCTAGAATACACTACTGTTTTTTTGTTTTTTGTTTTTTTGTTTTGGTCCATTTGGAGATATTCAATAAAATTGAAATGATACGCATCCGAAAGTTTAAATCAGTAGGTGTAAACTACCATTGTGTCGTTCGTCCTTCTTAACGACAATGGCTGGGTCATTGCTAGTGTTTATTTTCCCATGTAAATTAGAATCAAATATTAAATTTATGGATTAATTGTTCACATCGAGATTATTGAAATAAAGGGACGAGACATCTTTTATGGTAGTAACCGCTAACCACTCAATGGCTAACAGGACTAATCTAATTCATTTCAAAAAATTTATCCTACAATTAAAATTTTCAGATGTCAACGTACTATACGATCGAAACAAATTTTGCCAAAAATTAAGGATTTATAATCTTTTAGAGTCTAAGCGAAGGGATACACTTAAACTGATGAGAAGTGTCACAGATTCCTGAGAATTGAGGTTTTAACTTTTAACATTATTTAGAACAACGAAATTCTTCTTGTATATGTCTGTTCTTTAAGCTGGTATTTATAACTATCTTATGATTGTGTAGGTTTAGATCATATACATTTAATTTGTAATCTCCTCATAGAATGTCTGCTTATATTGTCATGATCGATCGGTCTATTCAAAATACAAACAATATAAAGGTCTCAATTTGAAAATTTGAACTAATGGTCTCTACTGTCGAGTGGTTCATTAATTAAGATGGAGATTACAAAGAATATTTGGTGGTAACCTGATAATGATGGTACTATCAAGAACTTTGTTTCTAAAGTATTCAATATCGGAGAGATGTCGCTATATCTACTATTCATTCTGTCCAAATTATTGTTCACTTCACATTATTGAAGAGATTATATATTCTGCATTCAACTACTTAAAGTTCTGAATTCGCATATGATGAAAATTGTTTGTTCCTTTTGACGTTATCTGTATTTTCTTCTTATTTAAGTGGCAATTTTAACGCGAAAATTCAGTCCTTTGGCTATTTTTAGCTTTTGATTCTTTTTTCATATAGCAGTCGTGGATTTTACATTTTTAAAATCGATCGGTATTAACTGATGAATTCACTTGTTAAAAAAATAATTAAAATTTGAGTAGTTTACCAGTAAATTGTTAGTATGTTGTATCTTAAAGTATGAGCCTATGAGGTCCAATCACCATCCACAACATTAATTAATAAATAAATAAATAAAGAGGATTGATGAATATTCAAATGAAATTAAATGTTTTTTTATATATGAACCACATGCATGTAATCAAAAGGTGGTGGTAAAGAGGAAAGGAAGTCCAGTCAAGCACATAATTCTCCAGATGTTAATTAACTAGTTTTATTACTAAGATATTAATTAGCACTATCAAAGAAATCAAGCGTGGTCGGTTTGTTAGGTAAGGTCACTTTGAGAATGTCTTTTTCCCTCAAATATTATAAAAGACAAAACAGAATATTTTTTGGTCGGACAACTAAGACTTCTTCTAAGCTTAGTTATAAAGCTTAGATTGAATTAAAATCATAAATTAAGCTAGAATTTCAAAGAGGAAGAAAGATTCTAATTTGACAGGCTATTAGTGTGGATTAATCAATTAACTATAGCACGTGTGTACATAATCCACTATCTCAATTCTTTGTGCGCTGTGGATCAAGCAACTTTTGGTTTTAGCATCATTCTTATTCCAATGTTCCATTCTTATATTAGATCTCTTTTGGTTTTCTTAATTGTATTAACATTAATTAATTAATGGGAGAAATCATTTATCATCGGGCATGATGTGGTGTACCAAACCAATGGACCACTTGGGAAAAAAAAAATGTATGATAAGTTCCAACTTGGTTAAATGAATATGGGGATCTAAGTGGTGAACTAATTAATAGCTTGTTTGGCCAAGTGCTTTTTAAAAAAAAAAAAAAAAAAAGAAGTGTTTATTCCTTAATTTAAGGTATTTGGCCAAGCTTTTTTTTTAAAAAAGTATTTTTGGCTAGAAGCAGAAGCAGTTTTGAAGAAGCAGAAAAAAATAGTTTCTCCCCAGAAGTAGAAGCAGAAGCAGTTTTGACTTTTCTTCCTACCAAAAATATCCTTTGCAAAATATTATATATACCCAAAAAATCTTACTTAGTTTAAACTATTAAGTAATAAAAAATGACTTTTGGGATGAACTTTTATATTATGATTTTTGATATATTTAAATTATCTTGAAAGAATAAAGTACTTTTCAATTTTATTTTTATATTTTACTTAAATAAAATAAAAAACTTAATTATTATCTTTAATAATAAAAATTTATAATTATTTATCTACTTATATAATATTAACTATTAAGCAAATCGCTTCATGTCCTTATTTGTAATTTGACACATAAAAGTACTTTTTGAAAAGTTTGGCCAAACACAAATTATTGTTCGAGAGTGTTTTTCAAATTGATTAGTCAAACACAAACTGTTTTTCTCCAAAAGTGCTTTTTTGAAAAAAGCACTTCTCAAAATAAGCTGATTTTTCCAGCTTGGCCAAACATGCTATAAGACAGGTCAACAACAAGCCCATTAATTTTCCACAAGTTTGGGCACCGTAAGATATGTACGCAGCCTTATCCCTAACCTGGAAGGGAAGAAAGATTATTTCCGATAGACCATCGATCGAAGACGGATAAAAAAAAAGGGTAATTGCAACGAGTAGGAATAACAACAAGATAAAATAAGACCGAATCCAAGAAAACAAGATAAAATAAAACTGAATCCAAGAAAGTAATTAAACTCTAGGTAATAATAGTAATCTATGAATGATATCATGCTAACACTAATGCTAGCGAAGTGAGTAAGACAACGAGAAACGCTCGACTACCTACTCGCCCTCTACTAGGGGTGGCAAACGGGTGGGGCGGGTCGGATATGGGACGGGTCGAAAACGAGTAATGAAAAAACGGATAAATTAGTCTCCCAAATTTGAGAAACCTCCAATTTGAGGTTTTATAAATGTAAAAGTTAAACTCATTAGATATCCATTGGTTATCCATTTTCTAAATGGATAATATGGTTCTTATACATATTTGACCCGTTTTTAAATAGTTCATTATCCAACCCATTTTTTAGTGGATAATATGATGGTTAACTGTTTTCTGTTAACCATTTTGTCGCCGCTACCTTCTACTCTAATCTTCCACCTCCACGCCCTTGAACTAATTAAGGCAGGTCACGTGTGCAAATTTCATCATGATTTAGTTCAGCTAAAGCCGCCCACTACATGATTATTGCCACTACGCAATTCTAAAAGGGAAAAGTTTATGCAATACTCTTTAGATTTCCGGACAAAGTTATGCAAAGATTATAATATGAGAATCGTAATCCAAAATTATTTATACTTGGATTAATTAGTGTATATACTTGTTTTAGCAATTGATTGATTCATTGTATTAAAAAGGTGATACAGGACGTACACTATTTAAGTTTACTATTTTACCCTTGTTTTCTAGTAAATAGAAAGATATAAATATTGTTAATTTGGTCTTTTTGGTGTTTTATCTTCGTAGAGCTACATACCGATAAATTATAGTTGATTCCTGTATAAAATAATGATGCGATTGCGGTATAATTTATACAGGCATTGCTTATACCTGAAACGAATTATCAATCAAAGGCAGCATAAAATAAACACGAATTGCATACTGAGATTATATTCTTAATTCCAGTAACTAAACGCCCCTATGCTGTCTTAACTTAGCAAAAATAATTTGTTTGCTTTCTTTGTTGACGTGAAAGTTATCTCCTTTCTATTTCACTGTTTCCATTCAACTTTTATACTTGCTATCCAGTTGAGGTTAAGAAAATTGCTACGAAATTGAGATAACTAGGTATTAGAATGTGGCATTTAGATGGTCATTTTTGCAAGAACAGTAACACATTGTCACGATATTGAGCACTGTTTTCCTGCTAATATGTCTGTTTACCGGAAAAATCTGATAACGTTAGATTTGTATATGGTTCTAAGGGTACGTAATATCCTTTGATACAAAAATAACAATACAAGTATTTTGACTGTGAGGATAGAAAATGATGAACAGAGAAATTGAATAAGATCAAACAAGCACAAAGAGATGTCTTTTTTTTGTCAGAGCCCCCCATTGTCTATTGCAATCCTCCCCCTTTTATAGAAGAGGATCATTACAAAAAAACAATAAAATAAAACATATAGTGGAAAGCCCATGATAACTTGTCTCTTCTTTGATTCCCGCCAAGATTCTCTCTTGGTGCGGTTGCAACGGCTCTTGTCTGTGAGCTCGATACTAGCTCGAACTCATTACTGGGTCGGGCCCTTCGGTCTTGGATCGAGTTCGACCTTCGAGATGGGCATCACGCATTTCCGACCTAGAAGCAGTGCCTTGCGAATCGATTCGGTCATGGGCTCGATAGGATTATCGAGCCGCCTCCTCGAGCGACCTTCGGGCTCGAGGTTCGTTAGTACCGACCTCAGAACTTACTCCCAAAATCTCATTCCGACTTTTTAACACTCAAACTCGCTCGAACGTAGGAAGGCCGAAATCTATTTCGACTTTATACAATGTCAAAAATCGAACCCCTGGAAGTTGGGTAAACTAAACCCATGAAACATGCTTGCAATCATGGGAAATCTGCAAAAAGAAAAAGGGAAAAAAAAACTTTTATGTTTAACTGAATTCTCATATAAGATATTGTCCTCCCTGGATCAAGAGAACTGAATCGGGAAGAGAATTAGTTCATTTCTCACTATACATTAAGAATTTGTATGCTTCATAATTTCTCTTACAAAACACCTGCTTGCATTAATAAGGATGAATTAGAAAGTAACTTGAATTTTGAGTGATCCTAGCCTAAAATACTTCAAATGATTATTATTCATTAAAAAAAAAAAATACTTCAAATGATTATGCATTTAGGCAACAAAGACAGATTTTGGAACCTTAGCTCTCTTCTCTAACTTCTCTCTCTAGACTCCGATCAAACCTCAGTATGCCGATCACCACCATTAACCCCTTCTGAACCATCTTTCTCTTTCTCTCAACCTCCTTCCACACCCTCCATTCATATGTCCACTCTCATTCTCAGAGCAACCTCGGATCATTCTAGATACAAATCAGCTTCTACTTCTTAGTAATTCTAGTAAAATTCACAGATTGTACATATGTAAGAAAGTACTTTGCATGTTCACTAGGATTCATTAACTTTTCTCAGTAGAATACGCAACGAAGAAAGCCATCTAAGCCCCTTCCCACACCCAAAATTCCCAATGGGAGAAAATAACTCTTAACAATTTCCTCAAAGGAGTTACCTAACCAAATTTTCAGTAGTAAACTGGTCTTCAGAAGTTGATCCCTCTAACAATTTTACTAGTATTTCATACTGCTATAGTGCGTAGAAAGGTTACTCCCTAGAACACACCTGATCCTAAATGTAATGGATGCAGCAATAGTGAAAACGACTCCGTCAGAGTGAGTGAAACAGAAGCCTAAAATGCAGTTACTACATATCTTACTAAGGACATTAGCTCAAATGAAGGAAGATCATAGAATGCATCCTTGTTAGAGAAAATAAGATTCTACTTCAGAAATCAAAGACCTGCAGAAAAATCTCACCATAAAGATGAGCTTCCTACTTCTGCCGTGGTCTAAACAACTAGCAGCAAGAAGTTTCATGTTTATCATCCATGAAAATACTCCAACTCAGCAATAATTCTGCATTCAGACAAAAATAAGACATAATATAGAAATAAGTTTGAGAGTTTGAAAGTAGCAATAACAAAGATAATTGATTATAGTCTGGGAAGGAATTGAGGATACCGAACTCACCCACAACAAGCTTGGAACTGCAGTCAATAAAATGAACGCAGGTACGGATTGGATTTGAATATTAGGACCTGCCATCAACCAGTCACTCAACTGCGCTTCAATGGGCATGTCCCGGTGAATTCAGTATTTACAAGGAGAAAAATGGTAGAAGGCCCCTCTTTCCCTGCTTTTGGCACCTCTTCCTTTGGGGAAACTCTTGAAGTTGCATCTTTCATAATGCCATGGAACTTAAATTTTAATATGTGAGACAGAATTTGTAACTAGTTGTTAGGATACAGCAGATAAAAAGCAAAACTAAGGCCCACAACGGTGCTACGATTCAACATAAAGACAAGTTCAGTGTCTGCCATGTATATTTATCCCCGAGTCCTAGGCAAATAGTTCATTTTGTGCAGAATAGCTAACCTCTGTGCTACGATTCAAAACATAACAAAAAGTCTCCACTAAAAGAGTAGCTTTAGAATCTGGCAATTTTTTTTCCCGTATAAATGATACATTCATGTAATAAACAGTAGAAAAGGCTTTTTTTTTTACCTCAGAGAACATAAAGTGGAGTGACAGGAAAATTCGAATAGGCTGCAGAGACGACTACATCCGAATTTAAAGAGGCATTCAAGAAATATATTTATACTGTTCTACCACATTCACAAAATGACCCAAGAACTAGTAAAATATTAGCGGCAAATTTCTGTACAGCAGCAAAAGAAATGCCACCCTTACAAAACAGACACACTTTTGTTAGTTAATTTTGTGTATGTATCTATGAACACTCTTGTTGATTTCTTCGTTTCGGTAATTTCTTGGAGAAGTACTCCCCAAATGGCTTCTCAGGGACAGGTATCAACTTCCCAAGAGCAGCAAGGGGCCAGCTTATAAATCCAATGGCTATTGAAACAAGGCACAATTGCCAACTCAGTCTCACAGTTGAAACGAATTTTCCAAGAAAGAATATTATGATAACCTGAAGCACCAATGTGAGGCCGGCGATTGAAATGAATAGACGGTTTTTGTGGACTCCTCTGAATACATTTATCTCATCTGGCTTCCGAGCATGAATTCATTGAAAATCTGACATAGGACAAAAGCATTGAGAATCAAGGTATTCTTCACTTTAACAGCACGCTCCCTCGTCTCATGCTCTAAATGCAGAATTTGTTCACCTCGGAAATTGAGGATTAGGAGAACTGTAACTTGATACAGAGCCTGTATTATTAGGTTTCTCCACATGATATTGGTGACGAGAGGTTCCCTTCGACCAACAGGAGCTCGGCGCATTAGATGATCAGTTGGTGGTTCTGTGGCCAGTGCAAGCGCGCCCAAGGTGTCCATAATAAGATTTACCCAAAGTAGCTGAACAGCATTCAATGGGATATCACCAGCAGAAACTGCAGCAACAACGTTAATTATAAGAGCACCAATGTTAACAGTTAGCTGAAACTGGATGAATTTCTGGATGTTAGCATATACGGATCTACCCCATCGGACAACCTTCACAACAGAAGCAATTCAAGTACTACTAGCACCAAAATGATCGCTTTTCATATGAGACGTTCCTCAAGTACAAAGCTTGCATCATAATGACTCTTTCTCCTAAATCATTTCCCAATACTTTCATATGTTTACTCCCCTAACTAGTTGCTACAAAGTGCTATTTCAATCTCCGGATGTTAAAACAGATCTGAAATCTGGTTTATAACCCAAAGCCTTCATATCCACCCTTAATTCTTCCAGCATAAGATAAATGCTTTTTTTCTCTGGGTGTTCCTGATCGCTTGCATAAAATTTATGGGCTTTACCATTAATCGTAATCCAACTAAAGCCCGGCTCCTTTTTAACCCCTTGCTTTTTCATCACATTTCTCAGGTCAATTCCCTCTCTAAAATTCCCAGTTTCCATATATGTATTGGATAAAAGAACATATGCAGCTGAATATTGAGGGCAAACAGAAAGGATTTTCTTGGCAGCTATTTCTCCTAGCTCAGAATCTCTATGAATCCTACATGCACTTAACAGTGATTGCCAAACCATTTCATCCGGTTCAACAGGCATTTTTCTGATAAATTCGAACGCTTCAATTAGAAGACCCACACGGCCAAGGAGGTCAACCACACAAGCATAATGCTGCATCTCTGGTACCAAATTATACCTTTTACCCATTGACCAAAAAAAGTGAAGACCTTCTTTAACCAATCCACCATGGCTACAAGCAAACAAAATGCTCAATAATGTAACTGCAGTGGGTTTAATGCCCAATTGCTCCATTTTCTTGAATAGTTCAAGTGCACAAAATACAGAACCATGTTGGGCATACCCAGATATCATGGCAGTCCAAGAAACAGCATCAGCATTGGAAATACAACCAAATACCTTTTCTGCCTCAGTTATGCTCCCACACTTGCCATACATATCTACCAGTGCACTTTCTATGTAACTTTCATTCTGTAACCCAGTTTTGTATTGGAGCCCATGAAGTTGCCGACCGTACTCAAGATAGCATAGGCTAGCGCATGCAACAAGGGTGCTAGCCAAAGTATACTGATTGACTGCAAAGCCTTCTTCCCTCATTTGAGAAAAAACGGCTATAGCTGCCTCCCATTGGGAACCTTGCGAATATGCAGTCACAAGAGTGGTCCAAGACACTATGTCTCTTTGTTCCATTCTGTCAAAGATCTTCCTTACACCCTCAAGAGACCCACATTTAGCATAAGCATCTGCAATTGCATTCTGCACACTAAGGGATATATTATCATATTCAGATTTAAGAACCGCCGCATGAACCTCCATTAAAAACTTGGAATATTTTGATTCAGCAATCGCGTCGAACAGACTACAGTAAGTGTAAATATCAGACCTAACATTCTTTTTACACATATTAACATATAGCTGTAAAGCTTCTTGGCCACATCTACACCGTGTATAACCAGAAATCATTGCGTTCCATGGCATATTTACTCCACAATTGCTGAAATTAGAATCAAAAACAGTCTTTGCCTCACATAAAGCACCGCATTCAGCATACATATCAATCAGTGCAGTGCCTACCACAACATTAGAATCCATATCCAACTCAGAGACACAGCTATGGATTACCTTACCCTTGCCAATATCACCTAAACTCCTGACTGCCTTCATTACACCAACTAAAGTGTAAACATCTTGGGAAAATCCTTTATTTTTCATTTCAATGAAACGATTAAACGCTTCCAAATGAAGACCATTAGCAGTAAGTCCTGATATTATTGCATTCCAAGAGACCGCATTCCTTTCACTCATACTGTTGAAAACAAGAGATGAATCCTCAACATTCCCCAGCTTGGCATACATGTTAAGAAGTGATGTATTAATAATGACATTTGAAGAAAAGCCTCTCACAACAATCTGAGCATGTACCATTTTACCTAATTCAAGGCTTACTAAAGCAACACACAACCGCAGTGCAGCCGAGTAAGCAAATCCATCTGGCAGCATTCCATAATCTAGCATCTCTCGGAAGTATTTGAACCCGTTGTAGAAAAATCCATTTTCTATTGATCCCACAATCATGACAGTCCAAGAAAAGACATTCTTCTGCAACATTTTATCAAATAATACCTGACAAGAGCTAAAATCTGAGCATTTCGAATATGCGTGTGATACATGATTAAGCAACAGCAACAAGTTATTATCTGAAAAATTAGACTTCAGAATATAACCATGAATAGTTTTGGTTTCATCTAATAACTCTTCTTCAGCGCATACATGGAGCAGGTCGACCAGTTTTTGCACTTGAGCTTTGTTGGAAGCTTCATAACTAACACTAGTTTCAAGCATCTTGTTACAAACAACCCCATTATTTCTCTTGGTATTTGGCAATGACAATTGTGATCTCGATATTACTACCTGTATAGAAATTATAATAGAATCACTAAACTGCATTGTCACTCAACTAAGCCAAAAGTAACTTAAATGGCTGTAACATATAAAGTAATTAACATGATATGACAACTATCAGAAAACTAAGTAGACCAATTGTGACTCTCATTGTCACACCGTGGAAGAAAATATTTGACTTAAGCTTCGTTTGTTCCCATTAAATGAAGGTCTAAGTCTAACCATCCAGATCTCAATTAAGATTCATACAGAACTAACACTAGTTTCAGTCTTATTTTTTTCTTTTACAAACATTTATTTGCTCTTAACAGTTAACATGTTTGATTCACTCAAATCTTGTACAGAATCTTAAAATTATTAAGATTCCTGCGAAGGTGATCTTTTATCACTACTCTATTCACTCCCAAAGCATAACCACCACCACTAGCCACCACCTCCACCTACAACCACCTTCACCACCTACTTCCACGGCAACCACTACCACTAACTACCACGATCAACCACCACCACCAACCACTATCACTAGCCTCTACCCACAACCACCACCACCAACTACCTCACAGTCATCACATCTTATTACCACTAAACAACTACCAAGTCAGTTACCTCCACCAACCACGACCATGATGAGTCACCACCTCACAACCATCAGTACCGCTAGCTGCCACTACCACCAGCTTTTAGAATATGCTTCATTTTAAACACCATGTAAATTAAGATTTGCTCTAGTATTTTATGGATATAATATTTAATTATTACTTTTTGTAAACTTTATGTTTAATCGTTTTAAATAAAAGTAAATTATACACACTCAGATGTTGAGAAAATAGACAAATTCAATTTCCACTGTTTAATTTAGAGACAATATCTAAATAATCATATATGTAATAAAGTTGAGACATCTTAATCTTTAGAAAACAACAAACGGAACCTTATATAATATATTAGTAATAGAGGAAGAAATTAATAAGGAGTAATTTACAATGAAAAAATGGCAGCTAACAGTCTCCAATTTTCTTTCTGATAAGTAGTCTACAAGCATTTATACCACATGTTTGTCTCTTACTCTGTTACTTGAAGGAATAGTATGCAACTGGCATCGAAAAGCTGGGCAGGAATGATTAGCTTCAAGAATCCCACGTTTAGCAGAGAAATGACAATTTATAAGTGATATTGGGTGCATTGAAGCTATTAGAATCATGGACTAAGATATTCAGCATATATACTTCGTTCAGGAACTATATCAAACATCTGGTTGGCATACAAATGGAAATGGGTGTGAGTAAAGGACACAACTTTAGTGCTTTACACATTCGAAGTTTCCCTGTTGTATTTACCGCTCGGAAGTAGGAGTGAGATAACTAAGAAGGCTTTTCCTGTATGGAACCACGATATCCATTTGATCAAAGAAAAAAAATAACTTCTTTTTTCTTCATAACAATGAAAATAGGTTACTCTCTTATCTTATCTCTATGTTGAAAAAGAAGGAACTTTTTTTTTTTCCCACCTTCTTTCTTACGACCCGTTTGTCATATATTTTGCCAAAATAAACTCCAAACACATATTTGGCCATAGATTTTGCCTACATTTTGGTCAAATCTCAAATTTCAAAACCAGCTCAATAGTTAGTTTTGGGCCAAAATATCACTATTATATTTTTTTAAGCTCAATAGTTAGTTTTGGGCCAAAATATCACTATTATATTTTTTTAAAATTATCCCAAACTTTTATATTTTATAAAAGAGCCCACCATTTATTATTTTGTAACGTGTTGCTTCATCTTCTCGGCCCTCTTATAGTGTATCATGTAGTTCATTATAAGAATAATAATTTTGTATCAAATTTATTTATGTTAAGGACTATGATTTGCGATAATATAATGAATATTATTGATAATAGTATTGTTGGGTATTTGTGATAGTTTTTAGAACTTGTGGGAATAAGCCATGTTTCATGTTTTTCCAAACCAAACTTCACCCAAAATAAATGTCCAAACATGTTTTCATCTTCAAACCAAACTTCACCCAAATCAAATTTTTCAGAATAAATTTGGAAATCTATGGCCAAACGCTAGCTTAGTACTAATTATGTGCATGCGCCTTTAATATCAAATAGTATTAACTTTTTAAAAATCATATAAATATTGACCTAAAAATTCTATAAATACACAAGATTACATAAATGAGTTGTCCTTTTACAACAACAAAACAACAACAACAACAACAACAACAATAAGTAAAAAGATGAAGAAATTAGAGAGCAAAATGAACAAGAGGGGATAAATGTGAAGTGCTCTAAGGTTCTTCGACAACAAATATAGTTCTATCTTTTCAATGGGTAAAATAAGTATGAATTTAAAATTAAGTCCATAAGCAAGAATTGAGAGCAATGACTTAATATTATTCCACTGAACTAAATCATTATATAACTAATTTCATCCCTATGACTATTAGAACTACTCCAGTAATTTCATCCCTATGACTATTAGAACTACTCCAGTAGACTGGTAACTATATATATATATATATATATATATATATATATATATATATATATATATATATATATATGCACATTATTATAACAAAAAAATATTTGTTAGACTTCACTAAAACGAAATTTCATAATCCAGATTTGGATTTAAAAGTCCAAATATATACAACTGCTCCTATTAACACTCAAAATAAGTTCCATGTACGTTATGCATTAAATTTTTTTTTTTTTTAAAAAGGCTAAGAAGTAACAAATACACAATCCTCCATTTACACAAACACATATTTTTATATTCAACCCATTAAACTAATCCACTCTCCTCCCAGATCCCACCCCCTTCTGTTTCTTGCTTACTATTTCTTTAGCTTCATTTACCATAACTACAGTGGAGTTTAAAGAAGAGTGGAGATGTAGGATATTTTTTGGCATTTTTAATTTCTAATTAACTAATATAATTTACCTATAAGTAGCACCTGATTTTCTCCTCTTTTCACCTTTTCATTGTGTCTGCATAATTAATCTTTCGTTCTCGAGCAATCCCGCAAGAATCTACGATGATTCAAATTTTTTACCCTCGAAAGATGAGTGGTTTATTTTACCTTATCTTGATAAAGTAAATGGTTATATAGTGATTATAGAAACAAAAAAAAAAAGCGAAACGATATATATGAACGGACAATCAATTATGTATAATTTGCATTAAGTAGATGAATTTGATATTGTATTAAATTATTTGAATAAATTTAGTCTATAATTGATGAATTACTCATGCAACTTTTCAAATTCTCCAAATCCTTTTTTAGCATTTAAGGGTAATGTTATTTGGTATATATATGAATAATTTATTTGTCTTTCAATCTTTTACTTTGAGGCTTCTCACTTATACTATATATATTCGTTAGAATCCGTGCGGAAGTATAAGATGAAGTACTCCAGAGAGGCTTAAAGTATATTTCTCATTCCACAATCTAACTAAGTTTGCTTTTTAAATGACATTGCACGGAATGTATCTACAATTTTTTTAAAAGTTGTCTTCAATCCAACATGAAAAACATACAAAATACAATGAATTAATTAAAATTTACATTGTCTCTTAAATATGTACAATAACAGTTGAACGTATGATAACCCATTATTGAAATTATTTTTTCTTTCATGAATATTGTGAATTATTTACCACCACAACATTAAGTACAAAACATCATTTAACGGAATGTAATTTTACTTTTAGGTAGAGGGTAATTTGGTCATTCAGTTTTCAAAGAAAATTTCAGTAAACTAACTGTCACGCCCCGAACCTGGGCCTGGACGTAACACGGCACCCGGTGCCTGACTACATGCGACCGAGCGAACCAACTGGCTAGCTGAATTAACATGTGATATTATAACATACTGAATGCGGAAGATAAACTAACACATGTTGATATACTGAAAGTCTGGATGATATATATCAAAGTGTAAAAATACTAATACAATTCTGAAATATATTTGTAGCCAACATAGCTTAACATGAAAAGCCTGCGACTCTGTCTAATTGTTACTCTAGTCTATGAAGCCTCTAATAAAGTACTGAAAACACTGACTGTCTGAAAATACTGAAGACTGTAAGGTAATGATAATGCTTCGAAAGAACTGGGATCACCAAATAGTTGGTACGAGAATCCTAGCACTCTGAATCATCAACCTGTAAATCATTACCTGCATCGAGAGATACAGGGCCCGGGCAAAAAGGGACGTTAGTACATTTGAATTGCACTGGTATGTAAAGCAACTGAAAGAAAGAATTGTAAATGTTGAAACTGAAACTGAGCTGATAATAGAGAACAGATAACTAACTGAAATGATAACTCCTGAAACTGAAACTGCATTGATAACTGATAACTGGTAACTGAAATGATAATTGATAACTCATAACTGAACAAAGGAAGTAAGGATATGAATATTCCCTCTTCTGAATGATGAATAACCTGTTTATCAGAATAAATAAACTGCGGCCTCAGACCCAATATATGTGTGCACAAACTACGGTCTCCGGCCCAAGTATACATATACATATATGCGGCCTCAGGGCCAAATATGCATAAAGCATTAACTGCGGCCTCAGGCCCAAACATGCATAAAACATAAATTGTGACCTCATGCCCAAACATGCATAAAGCATAAACTGCGGCTTCGGGCCCAGATACAGGTGTTCAACATCCAGGGATTTAAAAACAGGAACTGAGAATCGTATTGTAATATATGATACTGAAATATTGAATCATATTGAGTTACATGATACTTGAATGCTGAATATAAATGAACTGATTATGAGAACTTATGCTTCAACTATTTATAACATGCTGGTAATCTAGACTGAGACTCATGGGAATTAAACACAAGTCTATATTGATTACGCACTGAGCTCACAACGTTCAGAATGAAAGTCATGAACGAATTATGAAGCTAGAGAATAGAAGTTCTATAACTATTCAGGGAACTAGGCTTAACGATATTTCTGAGGCAATTAGTAACGTCGTAAAAGAAACGTAGTGTAGGGAGAATCATTAACATTCCCAAACATAGAGTGTTAGCCTCACATACCTTGGCTTTACCCCTTTTGAGTGTATCACAATGTTCATCGCCTCTTTCAATAGTAATTTATGGCAACATATATCAAGAGGAACCAATATTAGCACTAATGCTCATGTTTTAGGTACTTAGATATTTTATCAAACACTTGGTGGGCATAAAGCATCATAGTCCTTATTAATGGTATTTCTACGCCCAACAACCTATTCTCTTGCTCATAGCTAATTTTATAATCTCAAATTGTTATAACTAATATCATTCTTCATCACCTATAAGATAAACAACACCTTTAATCAATAATCAACAATCAACAACCCAAACTTATAACCGTTCATGTTTTTCTGTCAAACCCATCAACTCGTATCTCATGAACTAGAGTATATAATCATTAATCCAATGATATAATCAATTAGAGGGTGAAGACATTGCCCTTTTGAAGTTCAATCCTCTTGAATTCGAGTTCTAGGGTTTCTTTTCTCAACCATGATGTCCCAATCGAATATATAATGATTTGAAGGGTTTACTCATGTTAATAAGGTGTTGGAAAATTGAAATTAACTTAAAATCACCATTAGAACTTACCTTGGATGGTGGAGGGACCTTTGAGGAGTTAGGTTCTTGAGAGC